AGCTCGGAATCAGGAGGCACCGAACTCAAAGCCACCCAGCTGACAGGTGTGTCTGATGCCAGATTCCATACTCCAAGCAGACGCCTGAGGACTGAGGAGACACTGGAAAGGAAGACAGTGAAGGGAACGGAGGCCTGCCTGATCACCCTTTTTAATATGACAGAATATGACAGCTGTCCCCTGTTCCCAGAGGACACTACTGATCCCCCTTCACCAGCTCAACTTTTCATTTTCTCCACAGCTCTTAGTCTAACACACTTTATAATGTACATGCTTATTATGATATAATTTACTGCCTGTCTCCCGCCACTAGAATGTAAACTCCACGAAGACACATATCTAAGCACGTGTTTTCAGAGAGTGCCTGGCATACCTGAGGCATTGATAAATTCTGTTAAATGAGCGAATGAATGCTCTCTGGTTTCAGGTCACAGCTGATATGATAAGGAAAGGTTAAGACACCCTGGCTTCAGGGATCTTGGAGCTTGTTGAAGGGAGGATTGAGTATTCCTCAGTGTCAGGTGAAAGCTGATCTAACACACTGTGAGAAGAGATGAAAGGGTTAAGCTTTCCTATCTTTGGGGTTCCTTGCTGCTGCTTCTGCTAAGTTGCCTCAGTCGGGTTCCTTGGGAACCCAGAAATAAGGAGAGCCCCAGAACCCAAGGAGAAAACTAAGATTAGAGTTCAGTTCAGTTCAGTTCAGTTGCTCAGTCATATCCAACTCCTTGTGACCCCATGAACCGCAGCACGCCAGGCCTCCCTGTACATCACCAACTCCCAGAGTCCACCCAAGCCCATGTCCATTGAGCCGGTGATGCCATCCAACCATCTCATCCTCTGCCGTCCCCTTCTCCTCCTGCCTTCAATCTTTCCCATCATCAGGATCTTTTCAAATGAGTCAGCTCTTCCCATCAGGTGGCCAAAGTATTGGAGTTTCAGCCTCAACATCAGTCCTTCCAATGAACACCCGGGACTGATCTGCTTTAGGATGGACTGGTTGGATCTCCTTGCAGTCCAAGGGACTCTCAAGAGTCTTCTCCAACACCACAGTTCAAAAGCATCAATTCTTTGGCGCTCAGCTTTCTTCACAGTCCAACTCTCACATCCATACATGACCACTGGAAAAACCATAGCCTTGACTAGACAGACCTTTGTTGACAAAGTAATGTCTCTGCTTTTTAATATGCTATCTAGGTTGGTCATAACTTTCCTTCCAAGGAACCCTAAAATCAAGCTGCCCCTATGCTCTGAGACAGAGGCAGAAATAACACACATTCCTGGCCAGACAGAAAGCTCCTTGTCTCCACAAGCTTGGTTTCCAGATGGGTTTCTCAACACAACTTTTACTCCTTCAGTCACTCAACAAACATACATCGAGTCCCCACTACACATCAGAATTTTAAATATCTGATTTCACTGATTGTTGGAGGCTCCAGCTTTCTAGCTGGGAGGTGGGGATACCAAAGATGAATATGGTATGACCCTGGAGAAACAAGAATCTGGTGGGAAAGACTCACGTGTTGTTTTGTGTGTGTGGTTTTTTCCTCTAGTTTGGGATACATTTTTGGTTAAGGTGAAGAGAGGGGGAAATGGCAGGACCCATCCAGCTCCCCAGAGAGTCTGAAGCCTCAAGGAACCAATGGTAATTTCTGAGAGAAGAGAATGTAAAGCAAGGATTGTTGAAGGGTGGCTTACTGCTTCCTCCTGGTGGAAATGAGTAGCAAGCACATCAGGCTGCCTTCCCAAACTTCCTTCACCACAGGCAGGTAACCTGGGCCGGCTGCCAGCAACAGAGGGGTGAAGGGCACCCGGCCAACCGCATCTGCTTCAGAGAGGTAACAGTCAGATGAGTGTGTGAGTCAAGGATACTGGAAGTCACCGTTAGACATGGTCAGCCGGTGGTAGAATCATTCATTCATCCATTCATTCAATAAGGTGCGGAAGCTTCGAGGCAGGAGCTGGCAGGAGGATAAGCAGGAATTCATCAGGAGGACAAAGGAGGATGGAATTCTAGCCAGAGGGGTGGGTGTCGAGATGGGAAATCCATGTCTGATCTAGGAAACCCTAAATAACGAATAGATTAATTGGGTATTTAGGACTTGTGGGGGGAAATGTGAACAGTGGGCTTCCAGAAGGGAGCTGGAGTCTGAGGAGCTTGTCATCCATAAGAGAGTCTGCACGTGCAGGCACTGGGGAGTTTTCCTGGGCTACATGAGGGTGGAAGGTGTATTGAGATATTTACTGAGTCCCTCCTACAGGCTAGCTATATAGCTAGGAATAAAATGGTGAACAAAAACAGGTACAATCCCTGTTCTCTCGCAGCTTTAAGTCTACTAACGAAGAGAGGCATCGATTTAGAAAAAAACACTCTTTAAAAACGTTTAAAATGTGAAAGGTGGCACCATGACATCGATGAAGGGCATAAGTAGAGTATAATACTGATATCAAGGAGACTCAGAGACTTTCTCAGCGCTCCGGGGGTTAAGACTCTGCCTTCCAACGCAGCAGGCATGGGCTCCATCCTTGGTGGGGTATCTAAGATCCCACCACGTCACAAGGTGCCACGGAAGAGAGAGAGAGACTCAGAGCTGAGTGGACAGTGCTTTACTGCACTGAGGTTCTCCCCAAGCTGACCTTGGTGCTGGAGGAATCTGGGCATGAGCGCAGCCCTTAGAGGTCTCAGTGGCTCAAAGGGTGGCATCAGAGGTAGGGCATCATTGAAGGAAACTTAGCTGCCTGGGAAGGGTTGGTGGAGGCAGGAGGATCAATAAGATCAATATTTTCTCGAATTGTGGCTTAAAGTCCAAACTGGGGTGTGAGATCAAAGTGGTGGGTCATCACCAGCATTCAGTAAATGATATGGAATACACCAGAAAATAGTGTGTAAAATACCATGCACAGTAAGAATGAGTACTGTTTCATGAAACTTTTACTTGTGTATGTGAATGTGTACATCTGTGTTTGTGTGTTTGCATGTGTGTAAAGGGTTGCAACATAAGTCATATTTGTTCCTGTGCATCTTGATCAAAAAATTTTGGAAAACACCAGATTAGAGGCCTTCTCAAGTCTCAGCCAGCCCAGGATGTTACAGAGGATGATGGCCCAGCCCATGGCGAAGTGACAGAAACCCCTCTCTCAGGAGGAACTGGGGTCCAGCTCATTTTTAAGGCCTTTTTCAAACTCAGCAGCACAGTTCTGAAGAGAAGATATTAACTCTGAAAAATAATTAAGAACCTAACCTCAAATGGTCATCCTCATATATTGTATGGGGGTAGGGGTGGGAGAGAGGCAAAAATTGGCACAAATTTTGGGAAGGTCATGTGGCAAGGTTCACCAGAAGTCTTAAAATATGTACATACTTTGCTGGAACCGCACTCGTATGAATTCACATTACAGGGATCACCAAGGATGTACCTAAAGTTAACACTCAAAACTGTTCACTGCAGCAATGCTTATCACAGGAGAAAAAACAGACACAACATACATTTCTAGAACTAGGAGATGGGTGGAATAAACGGTGGCAGAATTCAGGCATTAAAAGTGAGCAACAAATGCATTTATTGACAGAGGACGATGTTTGTGATATAATACTGTAATTCAGTGCTATTTTTTAAGGGTGAGAACACTGCCAGCTGCTTCTCAGAGCACGAGGAGAGAAGTCACCTTGAAGCAGGTTTTGTCTGCACAGAGTGCCTTTCTTAACTATGCAAATATTAGGTGAGTCAATAGCATTGTACTAGAGTGAAGAATAACATGACCTTTATAGTTAGTCAACCGGGGGTAATTCTGCACCCTCCCTGGAACATTTAGAAACATCTAGAGACGTTTCTGTTTGTCGTGACAGGGGTTGTTACTGGTGTCTGGTGGACAGAGGCCAGGAATGCCACCAAATATCCTTCAAGGCAAAACAGCCCCCAACTCAGGGCTACCTGATGATGACTGTAGCCATCGTTAGAATCCACTAGCAAGAAAAAACACAAAAAGGCATCTGTGGGGGAGCTGGCCCAATGACTGTTTCAAATATGTGCTACTCTGCCCACTTCCGTATACCGAGCCCTGCTGGCACATATAGTCATTCCATAAATACTCATTAAATGTTGCATGTTGAATCCGTCGAGAGCACCTATAAACATCCACCTGACTGTGCCAGACCAGTGCTCAGCAGTGACTCCTTGTGGCAGAAACTGGAACAACAGCGCAGGTGGACCAATGATGCTTTTCTTTGGCTGATGTTTGCAGAGTCTCTTAGGACTGAAAAGTCTCTTAGGACTGAAAAGGCCCTGGAAATTGTGGGGAAATCACGAGACTAGAGGAAAGCAGGAAGTCTCAATCAGGACGATTTTTGGTGTCTTGCTAATCAGGGCAAACAGAGATTTGAGCAATTAATGAGAAATAGCAAAGGAAGATGACAATATGTTTGGACCTCACACTGATAAAACAAGTGAGAGCTTATTTTGCTGGGTGAAAAAAGTAGGTTTCAAAATCATATGTATGGCTAGCCCTCATTTTACGGTTTTATCATTGACCATGTAAAGACACTACACACATACCCATTTGTCAGGAAGAATTACACCAAAAACTATACCAAAATAACAGTAGAGGGTGGGGACTTGGGGCTGTTATTTTATTTTTATCTATTTTTTTCAACTTATTTTACAATGAATTTATATTATTTATGTAAGAAAATAAGTTGGATGCTGAGCCCAAATACAAAGGCACGTCACAATGTCTAAGGTAAAAAGACCCCTAGCCTTTCACACACGTCCAATATTTCCGTATCTGGACCTTAATTATCCAGAACCAAATGCCGTACAACCTCAGAAGGGTGGGCAAGAGCAGCTGCCCTGACCACGTCTGGCTCCGAACCCCAGGCCCCTTTCCTCTGCTCATGAGCGGCACACACCATCCAGAACCGACTCCACCTCAACCTGGCCTGCAGGAACCCGCGGGAACGGAGGTGCGCGTTGGGGACGAGCGTGCATCCCCATGGGTCTGCTCACCTGACATGTGGACATTCCGGAGGCAGGTGAGGGAGGCATTGAGGCGGGCACACTCCTCCCGGTTGGCCCCGTATTTCTCCACGGTTTCACACACCTGCTCATCTGTCATCTCCAAGAGGTCCTCCAGACTCAGCTGGCCCGGGGTGATCTCCTAGCGGAGGGGAGAGAGAGGAGGGTAACCAGACCAGAAGCGCCCTGAAGCCTCCATGCCGCCCTCTAGTGGTATCTAGCGGAACTCCAGGCTCTGGGTGGACATCTGCTTGGAGTCAAGACAGGCCCGAATCTGAATCTCAGCTTTGCCACCTCGGTAGCTAGATAACCCTGGGGAAACCACTTAACCTCTCTGAGCCTCACTTTGCTCACCTGTAAAATGGGAATCTTAAGCTCATGAGCTTTGTAAGGTAGCACACATGCTCATATGCTATGTATCCACACAGTTAGAGAGCTCTGTAAATGGTGGCCGTTAGTTACTTTGTCTCCCCATCCAGTTCCTGAACTCTTTATGGGCAAGGCTCCAGCTTACTCATCTTGGAGGGTCCTCCATGCCTCCTGCCCAGCTTGGACTGCACTGACTTGCTGCAGATCCAGGGTAACCTCAGAGCAGAGCAAACTGGACAGCCCCAGTCTCCTGATGGCTGGTCTCCATTCCCTGCTTCTGTTTTTCCAAGCCACACACATTCTAGGGTTCAGACTGGGGGTTCAGGAGCCCTAAGGGGGAATGGGGGCTGGAACCTTGTGGGTGGTTCAGTGCTGTCAATGAAACAGGGTTTGTATCTGAGCCCGACTAGAGGCATGATTTTGCAACCTAAGACAAAGTGGAGCGCTGCATGGCATGGGGGAAAGGACACCTCTGAAGACATGGGCTGGGAAAAGAAAAGGAAGAGTCCCGAGTATAAATGTGTGCGTCAGCTGTCCCTTCACCACTGGCAGCAACCACTCCCCTCCCCCAAACCGTGTCTCTATACACTACAGTATGGACACACCTCGAAGTTTGCCAATTTCTTTTTATGTATTCACAAAAACTAGACTTCACATTATAGCACTCAATGATAACCGATGCTTTTATATGTATTATTTTTATTTTGAAAAAAGTTTTAGATATCAAAGGGTAGCAATTCTGAGGCAATACTGTGGAGTACTCTGTCCTCTTGTGGCCATATCTATGTATTACAACTGAAAATGAAAACAGCATCGGCACAAAAAAAAAATTCTATTAAAAAAAAAAAAAGCTGCCAGGAACCCAGTCAATGCCTTTCCAACTCACTAGGTCAGTGGTGGAGAGAACAGTAATGAGTCACATAGAGGCTATCTCAAATAGGGACTGCTACAGGGCTAGTGCCACTTTAAGAAAGGTGATGGACCAGGATCTGGAAGTATTGATATGATAAAACGAGATACATTTAGAAGGGATGATTCACAACATAAAAGAATTCTCCTCTTTGCTGCAAGAGTCACTTGCGTGTTTTAGTCCTATTATGTATCCTCCAAAACACTCAATTTACACTAAAGTTTATAGCTCACACCCACACATCACAAAAGGAAGAATGACAGAAAAAAAATGCAGAAGGCTTTAACACTCTTGAGCCAAAAGAGGAGAGGCGTTTCCGTTGGATATAATAATAATAAATGAGATAGATGTAACACCACTTTAAGTGCTTTCATGGATTTTCTTTCAAGGTCACAAAGACCACGTAAAGCAGGTACGTTTACCATCATCACCAGTCTGTACATAGGAGACTAGAACTCAGAAAAGTTAGACCGCAACCCAGGGTCACACAGTGAGTAAGTTTGAATCCAGGTGGTCTCTCTTGGGAGCTTTCTCTAAAGTGCCTGTTCCTCCGCAGGAGGTGGCCCTCTTGTGGACATATGTGGGAGTTGCAGAGACAGCTGGAAACCCAGCTCCGTCCACACCGCCTGGTGGATGGCCTTGGACTTCATTTATTCCAACAGACCAAAGTGAGAGCCAAGGCTTCCCTTGTAGCTCAGTCGGTAAAGAATCTGCCTGCAGTGCAGGAGACCGGGGTTTGGTCCCTGGGTTGGGAAGATCCCCTGGAGACGGAAAGGGCAACCCACTCCAGTATCCTTGCCTGTAAAATCTCAAACGGAGAGAAGAGCCTGGTGGGCTGCAGTCCATGGGGTCGCAAAGAGTCGGGCACGACTGAGCGACTAATACTTACTTAAAGTGAGAGCCAGAGCTCAAGCACCTGCACCCCAGGTAAATGTAAATTAGCTAAGCTGCAAACTCACCTGAGGTTTTCTAAGGGGCAGCAGAATTCGGTTCACCAACACCAGACAAATTCAGTTCTGTGTGTCAGCAATTCCGATTTTTCGAGAGAAGTCAAAGACCTGGGTTTTTAATGCAAACTTTTTCAAGTTTTACATATGTACTCAAAAATAATTTGGGTTTGTTTGTTTTCAGACAAACAAACAAACAAAAAAATTTGTGCATCAGATTCAAGATACGACAGAGGGCCACTAGTTTTCAACCCCTTAAGATTAGTCTCCGTCTAATTCGCCTCACTTGATAAATAAATGGTCCCAAAAGCCTCTGAAAAGTGTATATGGGGCCAAGCAAATAATATGTACTGCTTGAACATATATGAGACCTTTCATTTGAAGGATATTCACAAGAAACCAACATCCTGGGAATGACACTAAGAAACACAGACGCATCTGTGTGCGCGTGCGCAAGATGGAGTCGTGGGGATGGAGGGGAGCGGGAAACGTAGCGGGGTCCTGCGTCCCCAGTTCAGGACTGTTATATGTGGTGGGTTCAGGCAAGATCACATTGAGGACACGTTCTAAAAGAGACAAAAGGCAGAAGAGGATCTTTCAGGCCTCTCCGAGAAGGAAGCAGGGAGTGCCTTGAGAAACGGCACTTGGCCTTGCAGGCAAGGGGCACACCCAGCACCCCCTCTCCCCAGCTCAGGAAGGCCCCCGCATCAGGAAAACGAGGAGAAAGCACCGTGCTTCTCACCTCACCCTCTGGGGTCTGTCAGAAATGGCTTTTCCTGCTAGCCCCTCCCACTCACTAGCAGGGCAAGTCCCTCCATCTCCCAGCCTCAATTCCTTGCTCTGTACAATGGAGTAATGGTCATACCAACCTCAGAGGTCATCGTGAGGGTCTGAACACTCTCCAGAGCTGAGATCCTGCGTTGTAAAGCCCTCAATACTATGCCTGGCCCTGAAGACTCAATGAATGTGGAAAGGTTCCACGCAGTCACTGATAACAGTGGGGACCCAAGATCCCAGAGGGTAAGGAAATCTCACCACCCTTGAAACCTTAAGGATGTGGTCCACCCTGGAGGGTGGACACAAGACAACAGGTGTTTTGGTTTTGTCCGAAATTTTCAACAACAGCAATGACAATAATAACAATAATAGTAAGTTGACATTTCCTGGGTACAGTTAGGTCTCAGACTATGGGCTGAACATTTTACACAGATTATCCCATTGTATCACACCAGCTACTTAAGAAGAGGAGACAATCATTACCGCATTTAACAGAAGAGAAAACTAATGTCCTAAGACCGTGCTGCCTGGTACAGTGGCCAGTGGCCTCATTAATGAACATTAAATACAATTAAAAATTCAGTTCCTCAATCACATGCACTAACCACAGTTCCAGTGCTCAGCAGCTTACATCTGGCTGGTGGCCACAGCATCAGGCAGCACAGATATGAAACATTTGCCTCATAGTGGAGCATTCTGCTGGACAGCACCGATCTAAGGGGTAAAATGATCTGACCCAAGTCACCTAGCGAGTCCTTAAGTGGCAGAGCTGAAAGAGGGTCTACCTGATTCTAGAACCACACTCTTTCTTTCTTTCTTTCTTTCTTTCTTTGGCTATACTGTGTGGCATGTGGGCTCTTAGTTTCCTGACCAGGGATCGAACCTGTGCTCTCTGCTGTGGAAGCACAGATCCCTAACTGCTGAACCACCAGGGAAGTCCCTAGGAACAACCTCTTACTGACTTCATTTAAGCAGTATCAGAGATGCCCTGTATTTTCATCCCACACGTATTCAAGTCCTACTATGTGCCAGACACAGCCAAAACCCCACTGCCTGAGGGGGCTGGCTGCCAGCCGGTACGGGGCCTGGGGCAGGGGTCGCCTCCGGTCACCTCAAGGACTTCCTTCCGCACGTCGACAATCCGGAACCAGTGCCGGAGCTGAGGGAAGCCGTCCAGCTCCGCATTGCGTTCCTGCAGGGCGACCTTCTTTTTGCAGGACAGCTGCCGGCTGAAGTACTTCACCAGCTTGCTCTGCGGAGAGACACAGAGGACAGAGGACACGTCTCAGAGGTGCTGCCACAGGAGGACAGGCAAGTAGCTCCCCAGCGTTCCCTCCAACCCCAGCTCCCTCCAACTCTGTCTTAAAGACCCATTCCACTGCAGTGAGACCCAGTTTCCACTCATGACCCAACTGCATTGTTGAAGATGGACACGCAGCAGGTCCCAGTATTTTGCCAGGGAGCGATGCAGGTATAGTTCCTGTGCAGTGGGGATGTGGGACCTGGGCTGTATCCATCCACATCTCCACTGCACAGATCCTTTGACCTTCACAGTTGCACTTCTAGGAACTCCTCTCTCAGAGCCCCCATCCTATGGCAAATGACTGGAGAAGGATACTTCCTACATGTCTGTTTGCAATGGCAAAAGACTGCAAACACCCCAAGGGGCCATATGTAGGAGACTCTTCATAAATGAGGATACAGGCCCACAAGGAGCTCTGTGCAGCTGTAGAATAAAGCAAGGAAGCATGCTATTGTTCTGAGACAAGATGCGCTGATAAATTTAAAAAATACTCTCTCATTCCTGTGGGAAATGTTACATTTGTAGGTCTTTGTAAATGCAGACACTCTCTGGAAGGATCTCTAATCTTCTAGGGAAGGGAAGAGGGTGGGTGGGTAGCAGACGTGAGAGGAACCTTTGTTTAACTTGTTTTGCATTATTTCAATCTTAAGTCACATGCAGATATTCACAAATTAACAAATACTTTTAAAATGAGATGGACCCGGTACTTCCCCGGTGGTTCAGTGATTAAGACTCCGTGATTCCACTGAAGAGGGACCAGGGTTCCATCGCTGGCTGGGGAACTAAGATCCTGCATGCCCCTCGGTGCAGCCAAAAAAATAAATTTTTTAAATAAAATAAAATGAGATGGACCCGAACTCATGCTTCTAGAGGGATGCCATGGCATGAAAAAGGCAAGTTTTTTTGCTGCCTATTTAATGCTAACAACATTAACAAAAGAAAGGCAATAGGCATGTCTCAGCAGAGAATAAAGTGTGCAAGACACACACCCCAGCCTGCTAAGTTGGGATGGGAAGGCCCTATAGATGGGGTGACAAAAAATGGTTTTGCATTTCTCTATACATTTTTGCTTTGTTTCAATAGCTACCCAAAGCACATTATCATCTTTGTGGTGTAAAATTTATTTAATAAAGATAATTCAATGAAACAAAAATAAAAATCTTTAGGTACATAAATGCCTTTGACACTTCAAAGCACCTGTCAACCAATATTTATCAAGAAGACAGACCTGGAATTCTGTTGTTCTTGTTTAGTTGCTAAGTCATGTCAGACTCTTTGTGACCCTATGGACTATAGCCCACCAAGCTCCGCTGTCCATAGAATTCCCCAGGTAAGAATACTGGAGTAGGTTGCCATTTCCTTCTCCAGGGGATCTTCTGGACCCAGAGATCGAACCCAAATCTCCTATGTTGGCAGGTGGATTCTTTACCACTGAGCCACCAGAGAAGCCCCCTGGAATTCTAGGATCACATAATTTGGAGCAAGGAATGACAGGAATGGGCATGTGTTTCTGTTCAGCTGGTCAGCGCTGCCGCTCTTTTGGTAAAGACAGTTTGAGACTCTTTTCGGGGGAACCCTCCTTCTTTGGCTCCCAGTTCACATGGTTGAGATGAGGCTGGCCTCACCCACCCACCACACCGGGGCTGCAGGGCGGGCTGGTGACCCAGGCGCGGCCACAGCAGTGGGATCAGGGATGACAAGTGAGCCGGGCTGGGCCACGGGAAAACCTCCCCAGGCTCCCTTCGCAAGCACTCAGAAGACAGCCCTCACTCCCCTCTAGAACTCTCAGGAGGGTGCCAGAGACGCCAGCAGCTGCCGGGGCATTCCTGCCGCCTGACACTGAAGCCCATTGGAAGAAATCAGAATAGTGGTTTTTAAGCTAACATTAATTTTATTCACCTTATTAACAAAGAGAAAGGTGCCATTCTTGACAAACCCACATTCCATTGCAATAACAGGCACCATAATCACAATAATAAGCCAATGTACCTAGAATACCTGTCATTTGGAATCTCAGTTTCGAGTGTTAAAATAGAAAATGTCCAAAAGAATGTCTTTCTTCTCTAACTTATTTCTGAATGAATAGGGTCTGACCTACTGAGAACTCAGAGCCAGGCTCTCAGCTGAGACATCTATAGAACTCTCCTGCCTGTCTTTTGTCTTATTCTATGACTGGTTTAACAGTTATCTTTACATGGTACGGAAAACCACACAGAAGAAAAAAAAAATACACTCTGACAGATCCCCATTGTTCCTGAAGTACTTCCATACTTTCTGGCACAACAAAGTTTTCCAGGTTCATCTTTTCCTGCCCCAACCCTGGAATCAGTCATTTCTCCAAGGAGTCTTGGTTCCTCATGGTATTCAGAAACCAAGATTTGGGCACTTGGTGAGATCATTGACATTTCCAGTCCCCTCCATACACAGCCTAGGCACCACGCTGCTGCTGCTGCTAAGTCGTTTCAGTTGTGTCTGACTCTGTGTGACCCCATAGATGGCAGCCCACCAGGCTCCCCCGTCCCTGGGATTCTCCAGGCAAGAACACTGGAGTGGGTTGCCATATCCTTCTCCAATGCATGAAAGTGAAAAGTGAAAGTGAAGTCGCTCAGTCGTGTCTGACTCTTTGCGACCCCATGGACTGCAGCCTACCAGGCTCCTCCGCCCATGGGATCTTCCAGGCAAGAGTACTGGAGTGGGTGCCATTGCCTTCTCCAGGCACCATAGGTATGTGCAATGCATGTATGAATATGTAGACACACAAATATTGTAAATCTACACTTGTATTGATTTTGCTATCTCTATGTATAGCTAACTGACACCTCTAATCCCAGTCCAACACCACAGGATTTCTTCTAGCATTTCCCCTCCCCACATTTGTATCACTCTTCTCAGACAGTGAGGAAAAACAATCCCCAATATATTTATTGGCTCCATCTGCTGAATTTAGTTAATTCCCCAACTCCACCAGGCTACTGCCCTGTGTGGGTGCTGCCCTAGGGAACCCTGGCCCCTGTGGGGCTGTCTTCTCACCCTAGTTCTGCTGCCTGTATTGTGGTTGTTTTTGTTTTTTTTTAATTGAAGTATACTTGATTTTCCATGTTGTGTTAATTTCTCCTATACAGCAAAGTAATTCACTTAGATGTATATTCATGGAGCTTCCCTGATGGTTCAGAGCTAAAGAATCTGCCTGCCAATGCAGAAGACATGGGTTTGATCCCTGGGTCAGGGAAGATCCCCTGGAGAAGGAAATGGCAACCCACTCCAGTATTCTTGCCTGGAGAATCCCATGGACAGAGGAGCCTGGTGGGCTACAGTCCATGGGGTCACAAAGAGTTGGACATGACTTAGCATCTGAGCATGCATGCACCCATGCTACACACACACACACACACACACACACACGTATATATTCTTTTTATATTCGTTTCCATTATGGTTTATTACAGGATACTGAATATATTAGTATTTCCCCGTGTCATACTATAGAACACTGTTGTTTATCCATTTCTATGTACAACAGTTTGCATCTGCTGGTCCCAAACTCCCAGTTCATCCCTCCCTTCCCCACCCTACCCTCTTTGGCAACCACAAGTCTGTTCTCTATGTCTGTTTCTGGTTTGTAGATAAGTTCATTTGTGTCATATTTTAGATTCCATATATAAGTGATATCATATGGTATTTGTCTTTCTCACTTACTTTGCTTGGTATGATAATCTCTAGGTCTATCCATGTTGTTGCAAATGACATTACTGCATTCTTTTTTATAGCCAGCAATATCCCATTGTATACATGTACCACATCTTCTTTATCCATTCATCTGTCCATGGACATTTAGGTTGCTGCCATGTTTTGGCCATTGTACATAGTGCAGTTATGAACATAGGGGTGTGTGTATCTTTCCGAATTATAGGTTTGTCCAGATACACGCCCAGGAGTGGGACTGCAAGATCACGTGGCCTGCCTTGCTGTTGTTTGTGGCATGTTGCTGTTGTCGTTTCAGGTCTTGACATTTGCCACTGGGCTCTCAAATCCCAAATTCAGGCCCCATCCCCAACTGTGCTTTGGTTTCACACACTGAGAAGTGGATGTTAGTGAGGTTGACTTAATCTCAGTCACAAATGGCCAAAACAGTTCTTTCACTGGCCACATGTAGCTAACTGAACATTTGGGGTATGGCTAGTGTGACTAAGGAATGAACTTTAAATTTGAAAACGGAAGTCATGTACAATATTTTGCTGTTAAACATAATTTTATAGTTATGATAGAGCCACATTTTACTTTAACCTTGAAATTTTAGTGTCTGAATTGAGGTATGCTCTAAGTGCAAAATACACACTATCAAAGATTTGATAGGAAAAAAATAACATAAAATATTTCATTAATATTTCTACATGGATCACATGTTTCAATGATATTTTGGATACACTGAGTTAGATAAAATGTATTATTAAAATGAGTTTCATCTGTTTATTAATGTGGCTACTAGAAAATTTTAAATTATACATTTGGCTCACATCTGTCACTCTCATTATAGTTCTAACAGACAATGCTGCACTAGGGTTTCATCCTAAAGAAATAATTAAGGATATTCACGAGGTCTTGCTCCACGTGGATAATAGATATGAAAGATTGGAAACCTTCCAACTCTTCAATGACAGAAGTCTATGTAAATAAATTACAACGTATTCATACAATGCCATACCGTTAAGGTAATGCATTAAATATGCATGTGTAACATTTGTAATGTATAAATAATATATTAAAAGATTTATAAAACTATATGGGTATAGATGCATACAAAAAAGCCTTGGGAGGGCTTCCCTGGTGGCTCAGAGGTAAAGACTCCACCTGCCAATGCAGGGGACACAGATCGATCCCTGATCTGAGAAGATGCCCCATGCCATGGGGCCACTAAGCCTGTGTGCCACAACTGTTGAGCCAGTGCACTA